GGACGCCATCCCCTCCAGCAACCTTGTTGCTACTCTCATCTTCATATTTGGCGGCAGCTGCATGTCAAGGGCCGCTTCATTGAACCACTTGATCCACTCCGCCGCAACGGATATATCTCCCGTTCCATCGAACGGTTTACACCCCAAATCTCTTGCTTCTTTGAGGTACTTCGAGATCCTTATTATTGGGACCTTGACACCTCGATCTACTCGGGACTCCACATGTCCCCTAGAACCCGCGTGGCTTCCCCTCCTTGAAGCCCCTCCCAAAGCACGCCTTGCCCGGCGCCTTTGGCGATCTTGCTGAAATTGACGGAGTAGTTCCTCCATCCTTTCTAGAGTGTCGTCATCGTCGCTCCCCTCACTGTCCTCATCATACTCCCCATCATATGGGGTCTCAACCGGCTCAGTTCCCGGTCGATACGTCGAATCCTCCTCGGACTCATAGGACTCGTTCTCGTTGACTGTTTCCACATAACTGTCACTCACGGTCCGATCTTGGCCTCCACGGCCCTGTCCTCGGGACACCCTAGAATCCCCTCTACTGCCTTGCACGGATCCTCCCGGTGCGCGGCCAGTCGGGTTCTTCTAGTCACTTTCCCGGTACCTTCCATTTCTGAAAGAAATTGAGAATGAGTCATTAGACTCGTATCAAATGTCAATTGACGGATAGGTACTTAAAGACATCCCTTGGCTCAAATCACCGCCATACCAATTGTTAAGGGTACCATCTTAACAATTAGAGACATTGCAACTCAAGTACCAAAAGTTCTATAAGTACAAAACCTTATGCTCATGGTTTTCAAATTCATTTTCAAAAATAAATTTTGAAGCTTCATTATGATGTTTACGGACTAAGGCTCTGATACCAATTAAATTGTCACGCCCCGGACCTACCCGGACACGTCAACAACCCGCCGTACAGTACGAATAGTCAACCGCAGTCCAACTCGTTCATACTATACAAGGCGTCTTGAATACCATTCACACATAGTGCATCCATAAACAAGCATAATGTAAATCATTCATTTAAAACAGCGGAAGCATTTAATAAAGATGTCTTAGCCACACTTTGGCAAACATGGGCATACAAGCCCCCAAATAGTTATTCAAAAATAATATCCATGAGCATTGTTATAATTGTTTTGAAAAACAGGAAACAGAAGAAGCACGAACCACGTCTTCTTCCTTTGAAAGTCCCTGAAGCAACGGGCACCGGTAGCAACCTTCAAGTCCTACCTGAAACTGTGAGGTGGCCTCCCCCGTGAAGGGGAGGTCAGTACTTGGAAATATTTGACAAGTACAATAGCAACTATACTAAGTATAATCAACGTTTTAATTTCCAAGACCCCCGACTTAGGCTACTATTATATTATAGGCCATAACCCTCGGTTACCCCTTTTTACCTCTAACTGTACTTACTTTACATAAAGTTAAGTAGTCGGCTCGTAGGCCCATATTCATTTAGAATTCACCGTTCTCATTCCCCCGTGACCGCGAGTCACGATAACCCCGTGGGGTCCCATCGAGCCCCTATTGTATAGCATGGGCTCGGCCCAACTCCATCTCTATACAATCCTCTAACTCGATGTATCATATCAAAATTTGTATGGCAAGGGCTCGGCCCAACTACGTTTCCATACCAACCATAACTTCGTGGCAAGGGCTCGGCCCAACTACGTTTCCACGGAGGTCACATATACATGGCAAGGGCTCGGCCCAACTACGTTTCCATGCTAATCATATTACATGGCATGGGCTCGGCCCAACTACATCTCCATGTCATCCTAGAGTCCAACTCTAATAATTTTCATGATCAAGTTCTCAAGCAAGTCCTATGCCTAGAATCAATTTCCGGAGGTAGCCTTTAGGCCTACCCCTAATCACTCCTTAGTGTTCATACCATTCATCCTTAAGTATCTCTTAAGACTACTTAAGGCATATCTATTCACAATCCTACCTCTTAGGATTTATTTCATCATTTATTTATATTAATTCCCCAACTAGTGTTTTGATACTAATTGGATAACCTTAGAACATGCCAAGTTCCTATTTCCCATGTTGCATTTCATTTCCATTGATTTCTCAATCCAAGTATAGTTAAATCTCAATATCAAAAATATCACTTTAATCCATTCATGAAGTTCATACATGAAGTAAAGGATATTTTATCACAATGTCATCTTAGTAATTCCATTAACATGTCATTCCATTCATTTCACATAATCATACACAATTATTCTAAATTTGTATGTCATGCTTCACTTACTCATATTCATATTAATTTCATTTAGACATTATTAATCTTTAATAGTCCATGAAAATCCCATCTAATTACTTTAGGCATTCTTATGAAATTAACTCACTAATTATAAGCAATATAGTCAGCCATCCTCACCTTATGAAGTGCTGAAATAGTTGCCTTTGCTAAGCTCCTCGATCAATCCCCGTTCTAGGCCGATTGAAGGTGTAAAACTGAGCTGCTAGGCAAAAGCCGGGCGGCTTTCACGAAAGCCGGGCGGCTTTCGTGTTCTGCAGAAACGAGCAGCTCCCTTAAAAGTGGCGGTTTCCGGCGATTTCGACTCCTATCGATCCACCAACTCTTCTAAGTTAAATATCACCACTTTATATCAATATTCTACACTTTTAAACGTGTAGAACATCTTGTTTATTCCACCATATGATTTCTTAAAAAATCATACAACAATAAACTAGTTAACTAATAGTTGTGGAGTTCTTACCTTGACGAGTTCATAGTTTTTCAAAATCCATTAGTTCATAGTTGGACAACTAAAATTTTAAGTGATTAGCAGTTTAGAACTAATAAGTACAGAGTATTGTGTTACTATTTTCCTTATTTTTTATTTTGGAATTGTGATTCTACATTATTTAAACAACATTCAAGAATTAGTCTGAAACGATTTAACATTGATTCTACATTGTTTGATTTAACAAATTTTAAGTCTTTTCTTTATGAAAGAGGTCTTGAAGTATTATTATTAAGCATGTTAGTTTAGACAGAATAAGTTGTTACAGAGTACAACTTTTATAAGATTAAGCCCAATATGCATGCTATAACCCAGTTGCTGCTATAACCTACCTTGCTGCTGCTTGTTCCTACTTCCATATTGCTTCGTTTTGAGCATGCCAGATACCCCACATGAGCATAACAAATACGGAGTACTCCATATGCAACAATTCTCCTCATCCCTAATACAGGTTACACTTTAATGATTCTTAACCACCCCATCCATCAGTACTTTAACTCCTGTGTTTTGTACTTGCCTAGCTTATACCATATAAAACCCACATCATCAGTATATTGATAACACATAGCCTATGAATAAACAATTACAAAATGCCAATATTAAACATAACAGCATATATAAACAACTCTAAGAATAAGATTCGAAATAAGGCTGCATCAAAAGGTATACAATAAGTTTGAATGCTAATAGGGTGTGAGTGAATATCACCCTCCTTCAAGCAATGAGGACTGAATAAAGTTGTTACATTTTCTTATCCGTTTTAGTCGCTATTGACTACAAAAAATCTCAGGATATCAAAAGGTATTTTTTGTTACGTTTGCATAAAAAAAGCTCGGATCTGATTCGAATCAATCGCTCTATTGAAGGTCATAAAGATTCTGGTATGTGACGCATTCCTTGTAACATAGTGAATGTGTCGTTTGAATCCATCTGAACCTGGAATGATGTGTAACCATGTGTGATTTTATGATTTCCTGGAATGACATAATGCACTTTTAGTTCATAGTTTTATAGATCCTTGTTTGAAATGTGCATAATGCACTTTTAGTTCATGGAATGTGCTAAAATGACATAATGCAAAAAGTTTAATACTTTTAAAAATGTGCTCCGATGATTTTATGATTTCCTTAATTTTTTAGTTGTATGATTTTTGAAAGCTATTAGTCCATAGCTGTTGACACTTCCAATTTTATGTGAAAAGCGCTATTAAGTATTGTTTTAATATTTTTTATTTTTTATTTTGGAATTGTGATTCTACATTGTTTGATTTAACAAATTTTAAAGGTCTTTTCTTTATTATAAATTTCTTGAAGTATTATTATTATACATAAACTATCATGCCTTACTGGTATAATTTTCCTGGACCATGGAGTTTCAATCTGTATGTGGATCTTTGATTCCTGCAAAATTTACTGTGATTAGGGTCAAAACAAACACATATGACATTATTATATGTAATAAACATGAATAAAAGCTATACAAATTGTAACATCTATAGAACTGGTAGCACCAAGAGTCATGATAAAATAGAACTTATAACATGTACAAACTCTTTTGGCGTGATTCATTTCTCAAATTAGAGACCACATTCCAACCATGTTGATAGAATGTTAAATAACATAATGTTGGAGTGGTGTTCAACAACCAAGTGTGAGTGAACTGTCCGAACATATATTTATAGTCAGATTTTCATTCACCAATATGATTGCAAACTAATAGAGTAAAATTATACTCCGTAGATTTGATAAATTTTCACATCAGAGGAAGTGACTAATCAAATAAATAACATGCAAATTAAATTTCAGGAACTCAGGAAGTATGGGGTGCAACTTGCAAGCATGGGCGGACTGAGAATGTAATGAGCATAAATATTCCTGGATTGGACATTTCATCATCTACTCTTTTGTTTTCTACCTAGCTACAATGTTGAAGGTCACAACCTTCACTATTTGGGAGCATTTGGATGAGATTTTTACGCCAAAAATCTTTTAGGAAATTTTAGGAACCGTGCGGCCATGATTGGATTATTTTTAATTTTCCTATTCTTCTTGACGTGCACGCCCAAATCCAAATTGATTGCATCATATTAATTTCTTTATTTCTTTTTCTAATTGTTTTCTATTTCTCTTTGATGGTGACGTTTTTGAGCGGGAATCCAACTCCAAAACCATTTTGCTTTTAGATTATAATAGATTTTAAAGTTTTTTGCACAAAAATAAAGTTGAAGGGTATAAACTTTTGTCCCCTTTCCCTTCTTTATTCGTGTAGAACTCGTCCTTACAGAAAAAAATCGCGAAAGAAGAAAATAGGTGTAAGCTTCATCTGCAAACTCAAAAACCCAATCCCAAACCTCACCTTGGAACCACCATTTTATATTCTATCTTACGAGTATATCGCATCACACTTCTCCTCACAATGATGACGGTTGATGTTGTGTCGAAAATTGGGGTATGTATTGTTACCAGTTCCACCAGTTTTTTAATCGTTATTATGCTTCCATGATTTGGATGTCGTTCTGGGAATATTGATTGTTTGTCTCCAAAGTTTATGAATTTATAGATAATATAACTCCAGATTGTTGGCAATATTTGAATTTTTCTTTTTCAATACTGATTAACTTGCTAGGTTAGAGTTTTAATTTGTAAATGCATAAAACTGCAGACTGATTTGTCTACCGACTCTTCAAATAAGAGAGCGAGCACTGAGGATGAAAACATGCCAAGTCCCAAGAGGATTGCAGATGCCCGATATCCCTACCCAGATCTTTTTGATTCAGATCTCGTTAGCAGCTTTATGAGCGTACGTACAGTACATCTTCTTTTTTAGTTCTTATAATATACATTAGAACAGAGTGATTATTTCCACTATCTAGCATATACTCACCTTTTAAAAAAATTGTAATTAGACTTTTCATGTGAATATGTCCCCATTCTATATCTCATGGCATGTCTTTCTTTTTAATGGCAACAACAGCACACCCGTATTAGGTCTAGAAAGGAAATACAACTAAGAAGGGGAGAACCCTGCCAAAGCCCATAGGGAAAAAGGAACATCTTTGGGCACTCCAACTTTCTCCCGGAGCACCTTAACTAGTATTCTTTGGATTCTCTCAACCTTCTACGTAGTAACATTTTTAAATAGATGAATCGCTCTTACAACTGCACAAGCTTTAAAAGCGTTTGAAATTCATGAATTTCAAGCTTCAATTACATCACAATCACTCGGCGCGTGATAGTTAAGTAGTGATTGTGGCGCCGAGAAGGCGGGGACTAGGGGTCCCAGCGATGGAGGAGACGTGCCAGGTGTAAGAGACTCGCCTGAAGTCGTCTCCTAGGCGTCCGTTGGTGTCAAATAGATGCCATCCACTCGTCTTCAGTAGCAGCCTTGAAGATCTAATTTTTTTGCCAAACCACATACCTGTTTTAGAGTAGAACCCTACGCCCCTCTACCCTTTAAGCTTTTGCAGGTCAGCACTGAGTTGTCTTCCTCTGGCAAGCACTGGAGTGGTGGGCACTGGTCGCCCAACACATGTCGTCACTGGAGTAGTGGCCGACTGGCCGATGCTTATCCGTTTTTTATTTTGTAAGGTTGAAGCCTGCTCGTGTGTTTTTTATGGCAAAGTCCATACCTCCCTTTTTTGTTGGTTCATAACTTACATACTCCAATCATACTATAGACTTACAGCTGTATTCCATCTTTTTGTTCCATATATGTACACTCACGAATATGTATTGTCGGTTAACTTCTCCATATCTTTTTTTCCAATTACCTATAAATAACTTCTCCATATCTTATTTTCTAATTACCTAGTTTGTAAGTCCGTTAGTAATATTTTTTTCCTTTATTTGTGAGATTATTTATAGAGTTTGTAATTTAAGTTTTCTATTTACTTTCTGGAGATTGATATTTTACACTTGTTTTTGTTTGATTCGTAATATACGGACTATCTTTTTATTATATTTAATTATTACATATAGTGGGACTTGTCACCTAGTTCACGCCTGTGCGACATGGCAGTCCGCTGACACAACGCCTCGCCTGTGCTCTATGAAAACCTTTGATGGTTATTAATGATCATAGTTCTCATGGAGAAACCAATGGCGCGCAAGCAGTTTTCCATGGTGATGGCGCAAATACGGCGGCGTCACATAGACAAAAAACAACTAAAAAAATTAATTATAGACACTGTAATTCTATCACCCAAACACCAAAACAGGATAAAAAAGTTGAATAACAACTTCTAACCAAAACATGTGAAGTTAAAATAGTTTAAAGTAGTTCCAAAATAACATAATATTCAAAAAAAGTTTCGTGTCTTTCAAAATATGTTAACTTGTTTTTGTTTGATGGTTATGCCATAATCATCATCAATTATCACACTCCTCCTCATCATATTGGTCTGAATCCGATCGCAATGGAACACCATCCTCATTCATTCCATTCTCAGAAGGATCTTCAAACTCGTGCGTCGCCTCCGTCTCCTCATTGTTGTGCAACTGAAGTGTTGTTGTTGCTCTTGTGGTTTGAGTTGCTTCATTACCACCAGCAGCTTCTTCCACTACATTTCAATTTTCAATTTCATTTTGCTCGACATCCTCATCAATCCATTCATTGCAATCGTCAATGTCATCCAAACATATTTTCATTTTTTCTGGAAGCTTGATCTTGAAGGTGTTGATTCTGCCGAATGTGAACATCAGCATCAATGTTCAGTTTCCCATCAGTAGTATCTTGCTTCTCTGTATTGACCTGCACAACTGTATCGGCAGTAGCATTGTCATGTGGACTAGAGTCAGGATCAGGTCAACTTCTTGCACTAAGGAAACCATCATCTGAGAAAATAGATTCCTCATGTTCTATGAAGCTTCGTTAAGGTGTAGTAGTTGTACACTATAATCTGGATCCAGTCCCATAATCATCTTGTTGGTCATTAACATCCTCTGTTACCACAACTCCTTAGCCATCTGTAGGACACTGATTCTAATGCCAGGAGACTATCCAGAATACTTGTTCTGCACCACTGAATATAATCCATCAGAAGGATTTTTACTAGGACTATGCAGAGGATCTGCGGACTACCTAACAAGCTGACCCTGGGCCCAAAAAGGTTCCCACCAATGTCGCTGCGTTTGAGGAGAATGTTTTTGCAGGTTTTGAGCATTATTTTTTCTGCAATTTGGTCCAAACAAAATTTCCTCCCGAAGAAATACCCACCCTTTGTGGGTTGTGTGTAACATCATGACTAGTAATTGATTGTGACTGGCATTTTGCATTTTCTTCTTCTATTACCAGGTAATAACGGCTTTCTTAACTAATCTTGGTCTCCCAAAAACCAACCCCTAAACCTTAAGAAATTAAACTGCGACACTTGGCTTTCCCTTAGCTGACTATGTACCTCTGCACCGATAAGAACGAAAATACCCAAACAATCACTCTGAAAATTTATTGTAAATATCAAGATTGTGTCCCTGGACAGCAGGATAAAGATGATCGACTTGCAGAAAGAAAATTACACGTTGGAAGCCTTTCGAGAGGGCCCTTCTCTCCCAAAACCAGACTATCCAAATCCCCCATTCTCCTTCCTCTGTACCCGTTTTATTCCCAGACTGCCGCTTCTTCTCCTCTTATTAATTATGCTTTCTCTTTTGCCCTTTTATTTCTCCTAGTGTGGATTTCAAAGCTCCTACCCATTAGGTAAGGTCTCCATTTTTGCACTGCCATTTTTGCTAGCAATTCCCGTTCATAAACTGACTTATTTTGGTTTCTGTTGGATAATACTTTGCTCATATAAGCAATAGGTCGCCTTCTTGCATCAAAACAGCCCCTATCCCTTGTCCCGAAGCATCAGTCTCGATTACAAACATTTTGTTGAAATCAGGATTAGCTAGCACAGGTAATGTAGTCATGGCTGTCTTCAATCTGTCAAAAGCACTAGTGGCCGCATGTGTCCACTTAAATCCGTCCTTTTTCAACAGGTCTGTGAGTGGATTTGCTATTCTACTATATCCTTTTAAGAATCTTCTGTAATAACCTGTTAACCCCAGAAATAACCGGAGTCCTTTTACATCTTGAGGCATACTCCAGTGGAGCATGTCTTGTATCTTACTGGGATCAGCAGAGACCCCTTGAGCTGATATTATATGACCCAAGTAAGCAAGCTCTCTCTGCCCAAAATAGCACTTTTTTCTGTTAACCACCAACTGGTTCTCTTGAAGCAATTTCAGCACCTTCCTTAAATGTTCCCGGTGTTCTTCCACATTTTTGCTATATACCAGTATATCGTCAAAGAAAACAAGGACAAATTTCCTCAAATATGGCTTCAAAATGTGGTTCTTCAAGGGCTGAAAAGTAGAAGGTGCGTTGGTTAACCCAAAAGGCATAACCACATACTTGTAATGTCCTTCATGGGTTCTAATGGCCGTTTTAGGAAGGTCACTTTCCTTCATCCGAATCTGATGGTATCCAGATTTCAGATCCAACTTCGAAAACACCTGAGCTTCTCCCAATTCATCTAATAGTTCTTCAATTACAGGAATAGCAAACTTGTCAGGGATTGTAATTTTGTTGAGGGCTCTGTAATCCCCACAAATTCTCCAGCCTCCTTCCTTCTTCTTAACCATAATAACTGGACTGCTGTATGGGCTCGTACTGGGTCTGAGAATTCCAATGTTCAACATTTCCTTCACCAATTTTTCTATCTCATCGTTTTGATAATGAGGATATCGATATGGCCTCGAATTTGGAATCAGTGCTTCTTCTTTGATGTTTATAGCATGTTCACATGCTCTTTTAGGGGGTAAACCTGCCTGCTTCTAAAAAACCTTTGGAAATTCTCCTATTAGCTCTTCCCATTCCTTCCCAAGTTCCTGATCTTGCTTGCTGGAATCAGTTACTTCATAATGAATGAGGTACCCTTCTCCTTCTTGCTGTAAAGTCTGTAGCATGGATTTCCATGATGCCTTTGTTCTGTTTAACTCAAGACCTCCCTTGAGCATCTTATCTTTCCATTTCTCCTTCCATTTGATGGATAAATCACTGAAATTTACCTGTACCTCACCAAGGCTAGCCAACCATTCAATTCCTAACACAAGATCAGTACCTCCTAGTTCCCAAAGATAGAAATCTTGAGTAATACACAACCCTTGCAACCAAATTGGGAGTTGTTCACATTTTCCTTTATTTACAACATGATCCCCATTTCCCAGCTCGACCTTGAACCCAGTGTTTGCATTGTAATTCAGCCCCATATCTTTAACCAATCTCTGAGAAATGAAGTTGTGGGTAGCACTTGAATCAATGAGGATTATGACTGATTTGCGTTTGCTCGTATTCCTTATTTGACCCCTGACTTTGAAAGTGTTATAAGTATTGATTCCTTACTTAAAATAGATAGCTGCATATCGTTAGTTTCACCTCCTGTGTCAGTCTCCCCTGTATCCAATACCTGCCGTTCACCTTTTTCATTTTCTTCTATTGATTCCACCAAGATTAGCTGTTAGTTTTTCATATATCACAGGCGTTCTTTACTCCATTTCTCCCCACATTTAAAACATAGTCCTCTTCTAGTTCTTTCTTGTAGTTCGGCTCGAGAAAAACTTGGTCCTCCCTTCCATTGTTTATTGAACCCACCAGAATGTTCATGTTGAGCTTCTGAATTGTCCTTCTTCAGTATAGGAATTTTTGGTGTGACAAATTTCCCTATAGTTCCTTCTGCGCTGTACTGACCCTTGGATGGATTCATTCCTGTACTTATCCATCCTCTTCTGTCTATTTCCTTATTTCGTCCCCCTTTTGATGTC